GTGTTGGTGCCCATTTCCAGGCCTCCGAGTCGTCCTCGTCCTCGTCTCTCCTGGCGTCGTGTTGTTCGTCCCGGCCGCGTTCAGGCTGCTGCCCAGCGTTGCCGTGTAGGCCGCCGGGCAGGCCGTCGGGTGGGCGCGCCGTCGGTTCGGCGGCGGGGAAAGCCGTCGGGTTGGACGTATGATTAGCCGTCGGGCCAAGCGTCGGTCTGAGCAGCGTAGGGGCTGTCGGGGTGTCCGGCGGGTCGGCCGTCGGTTGCGCCGTCCTGTCGAGTTTGGTCGGCGGTTCGGCGGTCAGGGGCGGCGTCGGGTCGGCCGCGGGGTCGGAGGTCCGGTCGTCCGTCCTGTAGCCCGTCTAGCCGTCCGCGTAAGTAACGCTGGCCGCGTAGCCGGGGCAGTCCCAGAAGGAATTCGGGCGTGGGACGGTCGTCGGGCGAGGCGTCGGGAGGGGAGCGGGGCAGGGTGTCGGACCGGGAGTCGGGCGAGGCGTCGGAGGGGGGGTTGGGCGGGGCTCCGGGCAGGGCGCTGCAGTGTCGCGGTAAGCCATCGTGGGAGGGCACGGCGTGGGACAGGACGTGCGCGGGGGTGGGCGGGGGTGGGCGTCGTGGCGGGGAGGCGCGTCGTCGTGGGGAGGAGTGTCGGGGTCGTCGTCGTCGTTGTGGTGGTCGGTGGCGTCGTGGGGAAGTGCCTCGGGTCGTCCGTCGGGGCAGGCGGCGGGCCCGAGGTTGGTCGGAGGGGCGTCCTCGTGGGCCGCCTGGCCGTGCGTGCAGGTAGCGCTGACCGCGCAGCCGAGGCAGGTCCAGTAGGGAGTCAGGCGTGGGGAGGCCGCATGGCGACGCGTCGGGTAGAGAGTGGGGTGGGGCGTCGGGCCGGGTGTTGGGCAAGGCGTCGGGTGGGGGGTCCGGCAGGGTATCGGGTCGTCGTGGCGTCGTGGGTGTTGTTGGGTGGAGGGTCGCCAGTTCGGGTAGGGGGTCGTGGGGGGACTTCGCGCGAGGCGTCGGGTGGGGGGTCGTGGGGGAGCGGCGAGGGGTCGTGGGGGCGGGGGTATGGGGAGGGCGGGAGCGTCAGGCAGAGCGTGGGGTGGGGCGTCGGGCGGGGGTTCGTCGCGGCAGGGCTTGACGTCATCGCGGAGGCCGTCGGGGCGAGGGGTGGTGGGGGAGGGAGCGTCGTCGCCCTCGTCGCCGTCCTCCTGGCCGTCGGGCGCAGCGTCGGGCGCAGCGTCGGGTTGGGAGCGGTGCGGGGCGTCGGTCCGGGCGTCGAGAAAAATATCGGCAAGTGCGTCGGTTGGAATGACCGTCGGTCGTTCCGTCCTCGTGCCCGTCCCGGCGGTCGCTGGGGTCGGCGTTGCTCGGCTTTCTTGGAGGCCGTTGGGTGGGGGGTCGCGGGGGCAGTCGGGTAGGGCAGGGAGTCGCGGGGGCCGTTCTGGTGGTCTTGGGGGGTCGTGGCGTAGTAGGCCGTCGTGGCGTCGGAGGGGTTGCAGACGAACACGCTGGCGCTGGAGTCGATGACCGGGAGTGTGTGCGTGACCAGGTTTGGCACGAGCTCTGGGGCGTCGGCATTCAGGAGGGAGGGGCTGAAGTTCGCCTTTTCGTCATTCATAGTAGCTGTCGTGCTTTTGGTGGTGGGCTGCTGGTACCCGTCGTCGTTATTGTGCCCGTACGTCCGATGTGGTCTCTCCCCCAAAGCTGGTACGTACCATGTCAGTATGACCTCTTAAATACGTTGCTTCTCCCCGTCCGCGCTATGTATCCGCGTCTTCGTACGGTTTTACTTGTGGTGGTCGTGGGTGCCGTCATCTGGTGGACGGGTACGGTCCTGATGGGGAGGGTGCAAAAGAGAGCCTCACATTGGCGCCGCCCGTTCGCCTTGTGCGGCAGGGTGGGCTCGGGCGCACGCTCGTCCTCCTCCTCCTCCTCCTCCTCCTCCTCCTCTTCCTCCTCCTCCTCCTCCTCCTCCTCCTCCTCCTCCTCTTCCTCCTCCATTCATCCTCCTCCTCCTCCATTCCTCCTCCTCCACTCCTCTTCCTCCTCCTCCTCCTCCTCCTCCTCCTCCTCCTCCTCCTCCTCCTCCTCCTCCTCCTCCTCCTCCTCCTCCTCCTCCTCCTCCTCCTCCTCCTCCTCCTCCTCCTCCTCCTCCTCCTCCTCCTCCTCCTCTTCCGCTTCCTCTTCAGACGCGCAAAGGCACACCGATGTCCTAAGCCCAGACGATGCGAGAGGAGAGAGAAGAGCAGATGGAAGCCGGGCGACGGCGAGTGCCCTCATCGGCACGCCGGCTCCGTCGCCGCCCCTGTCGTTGCCGACCCCCCTCTGCCTCCCTCCCAGTCCGCTGCCCTTCCCGCCCCCTTTAAGCAGGGCACGGGCCGTGTCTGGGGACACGAACAATGATATAAACATAAAAACTCGGGGGTCCGCGCGGATTTCTCGGATCGGCGCTGGGGACCCCTGGCGGCGCCTCCGGCGCCGCCACTGGCGCGCTCCGCGCGCCATGGAGGGGGGTCCAGCGCGGATCCAAGAAATCCGCGCGGACCTCCGAATTGTTATGTTTGAGTCATTTTTCGGTTCCCTAGTGTCCACGCCTCGCTTGCCCCTGACGCTTCTAGGCCTCCCAGATGGGGCTGGAGCAGATGGGGTCGGAGGATCGCGCCGCATCGCCGATGCATCGCAGATGCGGCTCGATGCGGGGCCCGACTGGCTTCACGCCGACGTCGCCGATGCACTGCCGACGTCGACGATGCATCTGTGGTGCATCATCGATGCATCGGCGATGCGGCACGATCCTCCGACCCCATCTACTCCGGCCCCATCTAGGAGGCCTCTAATGCTGGCACTGGGAGGAGGGAGGTGGAGGAAGGCTAGAGACCCTCAATGGACCTGCATGAGCGCGGAGCTGGCACCTCCACCAGCCGCGCCATCCGCGGGGTGACGTCGCAAACCTCCACCTACCCTGCCATACCCCCAACCTTCTCCTCGAGAACTTTGCAAGCTGTGACGGAGATAAGGCCGGCTCATGCGTTCCGCTTCAGGGGAGGGGCAGAGGAGGTCCACAGACCCTCTGCAGCTGGAACCAGCCAGAGGGGCCACAACACTTGAAGCGCACGCACGCCACACAACACACACCACCCCTAGATGCTGGAAGCGGGCCGGACATCTTCGCTGTTTGGGGAGTCAGGGGTTTGCATTTTGCCCCCGCAGTGCAAGCCCAACGTGGCGTCCTCCTCCCTGGGGGGGCGCCACGCTGGGCGGCAAGGCCGGGCGGCTCAGCGCAGGCCCTCCTGGTGAGGCTCGTGGCGGGAAACGGCGCGAGCTTCCGAAAAGGCGCCTCGTTGGCAAGCATGCCCTTCAGAGCCCCGAATCATCGGGGGTAACTCGGGTCAGGGTTAACTCGGGTTCGTTTTTCGGGAACCCAAGCCCGAGTTACCCCGGACCCGAGTTACCCCGGATATTTCGGGCGTCCAGAGCCCCGAATCATCGGGGGTAACTCGGGTCAGGGTTAACTCGGGTTCGTTTTTCGGGAAGTCAAGCCCGAGTTACCCCGGACCCGAGTTACCCCGGATATTTCGGGCGTCCAGAGCCCCGAATCATCAGGGGTAACTCGGGTCAGGGTTGACTCGGGTTCGTTTTTCGGGAACCCAAGCCCGAGTTACCCTGGACCCGAGTTACCCCGGATATTTCGGGCGTCCAGAGCCCCGAATCATCAGGGGTAACTCGGGTCAGGGTTAACTCGGGTTCGTTTTTCGGGAAGTCAAGCCCGAGTTACCCCGGACCCGAGTTACCCCGGATATTCGGGCGTCCAGAGCCCCGAATCATCAGGGGTAACTCGGGTCAGGGTTAACTCGGGTTCGTTTTTCGGGAACCCCGAGTTACCCCCCGGACCCGAGTTACCCCGGATATTTCGGGCGTCCAGAGCCCCGAATCATCAACTCGGGTCAGGGGGAACTTTCCCCGGGGACCCCGACATCCTCGGGTCCTTTCGGGAACCCAAGCCCGAGTTACCCCGGACCCGAGTTACCCCGGATAACTCGGGCGTCCAGAGCCCCGAATCATCAGGGGTAACTCGGGTCAGGGTAACTCGGGTTCGTTTTTCGGGAACCCAAGCCCGAGTTACCCCGGACCCGAGGCGTCCAGAGCCCCGAATCATCAGGGGTAACTCGGGTCAGGGTTAACTCGGGTTCGTTTTCGGGAACCCAAACCCGAGTTACCCCGGACCCGAGTTACCCCGGATATTTCGGGCGTCCAGAGCCCCGAATCATCAGGGGTAACTCGGGTCAGGGTTAACTCGGGTTCGTTTTTCGGGAACCCAAACCCGAGTTACCCCGGACCCGAGTTACCCCGGATATTTCGGGCGTCCAGAGCCCCGAATCATCAGGGGTAACTCGGGTCAGGGTTAACTCGGGTTCGTTTTTCGGGAACCCAAACCCGAGTTACCCCGGACCCGAGTTACCCCGGATATTTCGGGCGTCCAGAGCCCCGAATCATCAGGGGTAACTCGGGTCAGGGTTAACTCGGGTTCGTTTTTCGGGAATCCAAACCCGAGTTACCCCGGACCCGAGTTACCCCGGATATTTCGGGCGTCCAGAGCCCCGAATCATCAGGGGTAACTCGGGTCAGGGTTAACTCGGGTTCGTTTTTCGGGAACCCAAACCCGAGTTACCCCGGACCCGAGTTACCCCGGATATTTCGGGCGTCCAGAGCCCCGAATCATCAGGGGTAACTCGGGTCAGGGTTAACTCGGGTTCGTTTTTCGGGAACCCAAACCCGAGTTACCCCGGACCCGAGTTACCCCGGATATTTCGGGCGTCCAGAGCCCCGAATCATCAGGGGGGGGGTCAGGGTTAACTCGGGTTCGTTTTTCGGGAAGTCAAGCCCGAGTTACCCCGGACCCGAGTTACCCCGGATAAGAGCCCCGAATCGGGGTAACTCGGGCGAAGTCTTGGAGGCGGCCTTCAACCGCGATGAAGAACGGATCTGTGGCGTCCTCCTCGGACGGAGCCCCAGCCCACTGACCTTCAGCAAGCACTCGATGGTCGGGATGGCGGTCCCGAGGTTACGCCCGCCAAAGGTCTCGGCGTCTTGCTTGGGAGTAGCTGCGAACTTGGCGTTGAGATCTCCGACTTCCGAGGCCTCCGTTGGAAAGGTGGCCTCCTTCTGGTCGGACTCGTCTACTACGCCAGCGGACTCCTTCTGAGCAACCTCCAGCTTCACCCCCGTCTGCAGGGTAACTTCCGGAGGCTGTAGCTGCTCCAAGTCTACGGTCGAAACGGCGTTGTTGATGAAACTTCTGACATCCGGGTCCTCGGTGAAGAGGCCGTCGTCCTGGTCAGATGCCTGCTCCTCTTTGGCTGCACCTGTAGATTCTTTCGGGAAGGTCCCGCCCTCCGTGGCCTCGCCAAGGATGGTCATCGTGCTCTGGTTGACCTTCTGGGCGAAGAGGCTACCCAGGTCTGCCCGCAGCATACGGAGAATATCCTTGAAGTCCCACAGCACCTTTACATATTCGAATCCCCATCCGCCTCCGAACCGATGTCGAAAAGCTCGGTTTGATCGCCCGTCGAGATCGAATAGCTGGAGGCCTTGGTCCGAGTGATGTGCAGGGGCTGCACCTTCTTCCGTATCCTACTGTTCAAGCTCTTGCTTGAATTGTCCGCTCTCCTCGTCGAAGCCGACGCCCTCCGAGGCCGACCCCATGGAGACGTCACCGCCGCTGCTTTCCGGCAGCGGCTTGCGAAGAGCCTGCAGCACCTGTTGCGGCAAACCTGCGGCATGTGGATTGGGCACAGCGCGCCGCCCTTGCCGCCAGAGCACGAAGTCTTTCGCGAGGTCACTCTGCACCCGTTGCACTAAGCCTCGCCTAACGTCCTCTGTCTGGACCTTCCTGTCGAGGCCAAGGCAACCCTTCGTCTCGTCCAGCAAGGATTGGAACTCCTTGAACTGCTGCGTCTCGCCCTGCCCGCCGAGCTTGGCCATTAGCTCCGCCGCCTCCTGGCCGAACCGCACGTGTGCCACGCAAGAGCCGTGCCAGACAGGGATGCCACCACCGCGCCGCACGCCGCAAAACGGTGGGGTGGAGCCGCGCCCCGGAGGGCCGCGTAGCGCCGTATGAAGACAAATGCAGTAGCGGAACTGAAAGAGTCTTGAGCCCAGATGGCTACGGACTCCTCTTCCTCCTCCTCCTCCTCCTCCTCCTCCTCCTCCGCCGCCTCCTCCTCCTCCTCCTCCTCTCCTCCCTCCTCCTCCTCCTCCTCTCCTCCTCCTCCTCCTCCTCCTCCTCCTCCTCCTCCTCCTCCTCCTCCTCCTCCTCCTCCTCCCTCCTCCTCCTCCTCCTCCTCCTCCTCCTCCTCCTCCTCCTCATCCTCCTTGCTTTCCGACGAGGCGCCGAAGCTCGGCCTCCTGACCCAGCAGGATATGGACGACGCCCAGGACCGTCGTGGGCGCGGGGGCAGGCTCGGCACACAGGAGGAGGGAGGGGACGGGGACGAGGCAGAAGACCCAAAGATCCGAGGCTCCGGAAAAAAAACAGAGCGGCGAGTTGTTGTCCCAATCATCTTGTGGTGTTGGGTCCTCGTTCTGAAGAGACAGCGCCCCGCGTTCCTCCTCCTCTCCTCCTCTCCTCTCCTGTCCTCCTCCCCCTCCTCCCTCCTCCCACCCACGCAGCCCAGGGACAGCGTTCCGTGGCCCCATAGGGAGCTCCACCGAAGGTCCCAGCGGCGCAGTTCGCATGCGTCTCCCCCGCCCAGTGCAGAGCTTCGTGGCCCCATAGGGAGCTCCATTGAAGGTCCCAGTGGCGCAGTTCACATGCGTCTCCCCCGCCCAGCACAGCATTTCGTAGCCCCAGAGGGAGCTCCACCGAAGGTCCCAGTTGCGCAGTTCGCATGCGTCTCCCCCGCCCAGCACAGCATTTCGTAGCCCCAGGGGGAGCGCCACCGAAGGTCCCAGTGGCGCAGTTCGCATGCGTCTCTTCCGCCCAGTACAGCGTCTCGTGGCCCCACGGGGGGCTCCACCGAAGGTCCCAGTGGCGCAGTTCGCATGCGTCTCCCCCACCCAGTACAGCGTTGCGTCCCGAAGAGGGAGCTCCACCGAAGGTCCCAGTGGCGCAGTTCGCATGCGTCTCCCCCCACACAGTACAGCGTCTCGTGGCCACATAGGGAGCTCCACCGAAAGTGTCAGTGGCGCAGTTCGCATGCGTCTCCCCCACTCAGTACAGCGTCTCGTGGCCCCATGGGGAGCTCCACCGAAAGTGATACCTACAACTGCGGTACTCACAAATGCATATGGTTGGGTCCTTCGCCTGGCTAATTTGTATTTTCGGCCTCTGGGGGCCCTCAAACGGGCCCTGGGACTGTCAAACACGACTTAGGACGATACACCGGCCCTGGGGAAGTTGTCCAGACCATTGTAGACCCACGCATCGAAAAAATTGCGGCGCCGGGGGGAAGGAGGATGAGGAGAATTCGGCCACACTCGCAGGACAGCCTGTAACTTGCGAGTAGCGCTTGCGATGCGCAGGCTCGTAGGTTGGGGCATCGGCCACGTTCCTGGGACAGCACGCTGCGCGACACACCTGTTTTCGTATTGTTGCCGTGTTGGCATCGACTTGTTAATCTAATTGGCGTCGGCCCGCTTGGCTGGAAAATTACCCTGAGACGTACCGAACCCATCTGAAATAAGAGACCCGAGCAATGGGCCAATGTGTTACGGGTCATGCCATTCCATAGCACGGACCACGATTAGTTATGAGAGTTACATGGGAAGATCGCGCGCTGTCGCGACATATTCGCAATTCGCAGCAGGGAGGGCCAGGCCTCATTCTGATCCGAAAAGGACGTCACTCCGCTGGACCTCCCAGGAGCCCACCAAAGTGACGATGTTTTCGCAATTCGCAGCTCCCCCAGGGATAGCGACCTTCGCGCTAGCCTGCACTGCAATAGCCCCCCCACGAGCGCACGAAAGTGGCGACAGATTCGCAGCCCACGAAAGACGCGGAAATTGCACAGTTGCCCGCCCCCCATGGAGGGCGAGGACCTGCTTGAACCTGCGCGTGACACTAGTCCACATGCGGTCACCGCCACTGCGGAGCTCTCTGTGGGGCCACGAAGCATGTGAGGTCTGCGCCGAAACGGGCGGGTGACGTAATGCGGACCCTGCCACGGCAGCCTTCCGTGGAGCCCCCGTATGGAGCCCAGAGGCGTAAGAGGCACTCCGAGGGTCCGAAGGATCATGGCGCAGCACGCATCCATTACACTTGAGGCATGCTCCTCCTCCTCCTCCTCCTTCTCCTCTTCCTCCTCCTCCTCCTCCTCCTCCTCCTCCTCCTCCTCCTCCTCCTCCTCCTCCTCCTCCTCCTCCTCCTCCTCCTCCTCCTCCCCCCTCTTCTTCCTCCTACTCCACCTCCTCCTCCTCCTTCCTCCCCCTCCTCCTCCTCCTCCTCCTCCTCCTTCTCCTCCTCCACCTCCTCCTCCTCCTCCTCCTCCTCCTCCTCCGCCCACTCCTGCCATCGCCCGCCGCCGCTTCCCCCCTGGCCGCCCCCTCCTCGGCCTCGGCAGCGGCCCTGGCGGGCCCAGGGGGCCAGCTGCTGGGCCAGTGACTGGTCGTGCGTCGGAGGGTCCGCCGAAGCGCTGGTCCAGAGCCACCCTCAGCGGCACCTCAGCAGGTGCTCAACATCACGGGCACTCCGGAAGTCCGCCCGAAGTTCCCGCTTTGGGGCCTCTGCCGGGCATGGAAACGTTGCCCGAATCGGGAAGGTTTGGGTTCGCTGGGTCGTTGGCCGCAGTGTCTGCTGGTGGGATCCCTGTCAGGGGGTCGCTGACACGGAGCAGCCCACGCTCAGAGCCGAGCCAGGCCAGGCCGACCGCAATGCCAGGCTCCGGCTCGGCGTGGGCGCGCGGAAGCGCGCGCGGGGAGGACAAGTCGTACGAGAACGAGGAGGTCCAGCCGGACATGAGGCGCGCGCGCGCACGCCAGAGCGGGGAAGGAGGGGAGGGGTCAGGAGCAACATCAGGGGAGTGATCGGCCCTGGGGGGAGGTTCAAGGTTTTCGGACGTCGTCGTCGGTTCTCGGCGGTTTTCCAGCCTCGGGGTGCTCTTCGGCAGCTGCGCCTCGCCAAGAGGCGTGCGGGGGCGCCCAGATCGTCTCGAACGGCCGCCAGAGAGCCGAGTTATGACCTTATGACCCGAAAACGCACCCTGGGAGAGGTCTGGAGAGTAGGGGTATCGATATCTTTTGGTTTACCCCGCGAAGGTGCGGAACACGGGGGGGGGGGCTTTCCAGGCTGGCCAGAGCTGGCCGCAACCGGCGCATTTCCCTACAGACTCTTCTCGACTTGTGATTTACTCACGTCTGTGCTCGGCGTCTCTGTCGGCGTCCTGCACTGTCCCGCGGTTTTGCAGAGAGCCCCTCCCCGCGGAAATGGCGCGGCCCCCTGATGCGCAAGATCAGCACGTCATGTCCCCATAGTGACCATAATGAGTGCGTACGGGCGAGGCCCGCGGAGAAGTTCTTCAACCAGCGCTTCTTCAACGACGTCTACAAGGCGCGCTACCTGCTCATTCTGATCTGGATGTGCGAGACCGCCCTGACGGTCCACAAGGCGGCGCAGTTGGCTCCGGACCTGCGGCCCTCTGTGGGGCCCGGTGGGGCGCGAGCAGCCGGCGGTGGTGTCCCCCCTCGGCGGTCAGACGTTGAGGCCCTGGCGCTACGCAGACCTAGCCATGCCTGCTCCGGGGCGCCCCAGCAGGCCATGCCCGCTCAGCGCCCCACGCCCTCGCGTGCCCCAATCTCCCATGCATCACAGCGGGTGCCGCCCTCTGGTGCCCCATCCTCCGGCACTGTCCCACCTCCTCCCGCTCCAACTCCCGGCGCCCCGCAGCTGCGATGCGCGCTCTGGGGCGGAGGTGGCATGCTCCAGTCGGGGGCGGAAAAGAGGGGGGTGACGACTAGGGGGGGGTGGATATCATGGCGCGGGCCATGATATCTCCGCAGATTTCATGGCGCCTCTTCTTATTTCATTACGTCCCAGCCCCCCCCGCTGGGGCGCGCACATGCCGCCGGTCATGATTTGCACACACCCCTCTTGGACACCCCCCTCTTGGCCGCTCCCGATCCAGGGGAGGCGGCGCACTGGCACGATGGAGGCGCAGCGCGCGGAGTCGAGCGACAGCGCCGGAGTTTCGAGTCTCGCTCGAGGCCAGGGCCCCTCCCGGAAGCCGTCCCAGCCAGCTGTTCGAGGCGCGCGCCCAGCTGTGGGGACGGGGGACCCCCAGGAGGCGCGGCAAGGGCTCCCCAGAGGGGTCTGCCCCCGAGGGAAGGGCTCCCCTCCCCTCCCCAGCAACAAAAACCCTCCTCGCAGCCCATACCATGCCAATCCCCCCCCAATGCCCTGTCTCCGGGGTGGACAGAACCCCCAACAGTGACACGTCGATTAGTGAATTGTCCGTTTTCGGTTCTCGAGAGGGCGCCGTGGCCGTTATTTTCCAGGCTTGCGCCCGACAGGTTTGGGCCTCAGGTCGTGTTCATTAAACCACGTTTTACTAAAGGGGGGTCTGTCCATCCCCGACTGTCTGTTCCCCTGTCGCGGCACCGGCTCATCGGACACGGGCCGACGGCCACTCGTGGCTGGCGGATGAGACGAGGGGACGCTGAGGACAGGACAGAGGAAGCCTTGGCTGGCGCACTAGGCCTGTGGATCGGAGGGCCCTCCCCCATCCCCCTGGCTCCTGCTCCTTGAAGCCCCTTCCCCTTCCCCTGGCTCCTGCTGCTGCCTCCTTCAGCAGACTTCACCGCCTGTGTGTGGGCCCGCGCCCTTTTCGAGCGATGTTGCGCTCATTAGCTCGGAGTGATGGCCAACTTTCGCCGCCCTTGGGCGGCCGCTGCTGTCGGGAGCTGAGGCTAGAAGCCAGCCCACGTCAGAATCAGACTGCTGTTGCTGCTGCTGCTGCGACTGCTCCTGCGCACGCGCACGCGCACGCGCT